TACTGGAACCCCTCGGAGAGCCGGGACTTCATTGACAGCTACCTGCAGGAGATAGCCAAGGTCAGCAACAAGCACCAAAACCTTGGGGCTTAGACATCTGGAGGGATGAGAAACGAGCCCAACTGCACCCTCTGAGCTGTGTGTGTGGCCATCTACGAGCTTAGGTGGGCATCAGGTTGAGGGCACCCATTAGAGGGATGGAGGTGCAGGGGACCAGCAGCTTTTTCCCAAACCCTTGGGATTCACCTGGAATAAACTTTGTATCAGGCCAGCCCTTGCAGTTTGTGCAGCACTAACACTTGGCACCTTTCTGTGAAGGACACCAGCGACAGCAGCTTCCAGGAGGAAAACCTTGTGTCCTGTGTGCTCGACCTGCTGTTTGCTGGGACCGAGACCACTTCCACCACCCTCCGCTGGGCTCTGCTGTACATGGCCCTGCATCCAGAAATTCAAGGTACAATCAGCAGAAGTTCAGTGGTTTCCTTGCTTTTAGCCCTCACAGCTTTGGGAGAGACTCTCAAAACATGAGAGGAAAAGTAGGGAACCCTCGGCAATCACACTGGAGAGGTGCAAAGACTGGCTGGTGACCCAGACCCTCCCAGCAACCACCTTGTGTTGCTCCAAGAGGATGATTTTCTGGGGGCTTGGCTGATCCCTGCTCTCCCCTCCAGCCCGCGTGCAAGCCGAGATCGACGCCGTCATCGGGCAGGTGCGGCAGCCAGCCCTGGAGGACAGGAGCAACATGCCCTACACCAACGCCGTCATCCACGAGGTGCAGAGGAAAGGCAACATCGTCCCTCTCGGCATCATAAGAAAGGCAACAAAGGACACGGTCATGGATGGCTTCCACATACCAAAGGTAACCTTGCTTGTGAGTGTGGAGAGTTCTGCCAGAGACTCCCAGTTCCCCGGGCACGATCCTCCAGGCCAAGTCACTCCTAAACACACAGGACAGGCGGAGCCACAGCCTGATGATGCTGATGAGAAAGAAACAGGGGTTTAAAATCACTGCAACTCTGCACAAACAAGATGAAGGTTAAACTGGTCATACAGATGGCATCTTGTACAGACAATGTCAGCAGAATCTGACGATGGCTGTTCTTCATAGAGAAGAGACTGGAAGATCAAAACACTCCTGCTGGCAGTGACCAAGAAACTGCAACTTCTTTGTCTTTTTTTCCTTTTAGGGCACTACTGTGCTCACAAATTTAACCTCTGTGATGTTTGACAAGAGCGAGTGGGAAACCCCTGACAGTTTTAACCCTGGGCATTTCCTGAAGGATGGTCAGTTCTGGAAAAGGGAGGCTTTCATCCCTTTTTCCATAGGTAAGCTTTGCTGGATTTGGGGGCTTCTGTGCTGGGGCGTTCCAGTGGCAGAGTGGAGACACAGAGGAAAAGAGCAATGGCAAGGGCACATGTTGGGAGCACCCTTCAAGGTTCTCTCAAGCACTGCTCAGGTAGCCACCCTGAAGCACCTCAGCTGAGCTCTGAGCTCTTTCTTGTCTCTGTCTCCATGAATAGAAGGGAGATGAGGAAGACTAAAAGACCATAAAAATGCCACTGAGCTCAGAAAGCCCTTCACCAAGGCAAGAGCATCACTTTGTGCTGCTCCCACAGGGCTGAGGTCACAAGGGACTCCACTCTTGCCAGCACAGGGCACCCAGT